CAGACTCGTCGAACGTGACGTCCTGGGACTGAAGAACTCGTAGGTGAGTGGGTCGTAGAACACCCAGCCGGCGGTGTCCAAAGGGAAGCCAAGAAAGACGCAGGCACGAGTGCGCGGAGACAACTTGTTCACGCCAGGAGCGCGAACGTGAGCCAGAGAACCCCAGACGCGGAAGTCAGCTGCTACGCCCGGAGAACGTGTCCAAAGGGAGACCGGCATCACCCGCGGCCGTGCGTCACTAGGCCACAGGTTCAGCTGGTGCGCGGCGTAGCGGACTGCCTGAGGCCACAGGAACAAGGGGGCACCGGCATGGCACATGGAGGTCCGGGCAACCTCCATGACCAGGCCGATGCATCGCTCGGCTACCCTGTTCTGCTGCGGCGAGGCTGGTAGCGTGTAAGACTGGAGGATCCCCCGACCCTGACATAACGTGTCTAGGCGAGTGGAAGAAAAGTTACCACCACGGTCCGAGTGCAGGCGGAGCCCACAAAGGGCCTGGGCGCCATCCCACGCTAGTAGCCACGGCTCGAGGACGGTAGGCACGTCGGCCTTCCTTCGCAAGGGGAAAACCGTGGTGTAGCGGGAGTAGTCGTCCACCATAATCATGAAGTAGCGCTCCTGACGTGGGCCACGGACCGGGGAGGGGCCCGAAACGTCCAAGTGCAGGGTCTGGAAGGGAGCCGTGGTGGGGGGGAACGAGGAGGAGTGAGGGGCAGCGCGCTGCCGACCCTCGACGAAAGGAGTGCATGGCGGCGCAGGCGAGCGAGGAAGCGGGGCAAGCGACTGTGGGAGACCTGAGACCAGACGGTAACGTGCCATCCTACTGAGACGTGAGAACGACGGGTGAGTGAGTGACCGTCAATTGCACGACATAGCAGCTACCTGACCTGACCTGACCTGACCTGACCTGACCCAGTGTGGTGGGACCCAGTGTGTAGTGAGTACAGACTAGAGCCCGGCTCCCTCTGGAAAGTGGCCAGAGGTGCCCCAGTGGCAATGACTGTGCAGGAGGCAACTGACTCGTCCAGTGGGAAAGTAGTGACTACGCCTAGGTCGTGGAGGTGACTACACCCACCAGGTTCCTGGAGAACCTGGGGGTGTAGTAACCTGTGAGAAACCTAGAAGGAGCCGCCGAACACGGGAGAGTGGTGGTGCTGTGGGCAACTACAGGTCCCACGGAGGGGTCAGCCAAGGCGACAGTGACTGCAGTGCGCAGTGGTGTGAGGTCAGTATAGTCGCAAAAGATGCAGCTGGACGCTCCAGAGTCTAGGGTGAAGGAAAAGCTGTGCAGTCTGTGAGGTCGCACCCGAGCCAGCGACAAAGGCTGGTGCTAGACTAGTGGTAGCATCAGCTCCTACATAAAGACGCTCAGAGGGGCCCGGACTAGAAACAACACACGCACCAAGACTGGAAACACAGGTCTCTACTCGTGCAGCCGGGAACGGTCATAGACCAGGTCGGTGAGACTCAACTGGTGCAGCAGTGCGCTGGCGAAAACGCGAGGGCCAGTGCGGTGTAATAGCATGAGGACCAAAACGCTCACGGTGGAGGTCGTCGAGGCGACGGTAGCAGGGGGACGCAGAGTGGTCAGGACTCCAGCAGGTGGTGCCAGCACCCGGGCCAGTCAGGATCCGGTACCCGCAGGGACCGACGTCGCGCCCACTACTGGCTGAGCCGCTCCTGCGGCCGGTACTCCTTGGACCCTCAGGTCCCCACTGTCGGGAGTGCTGTACCTGCTGTCGCTGCGGCTGACCCTGCTGCTGCTGCTGCAGAACTCTAGCACACGCCATGGTAGGCGCTAGAGACGGCGGAGCGCGGTGGGGAGCAGCTAGGAGCGGTTGTTAGCTACAGCCTATGCTGCTGCTGAGTCTGCTGGGGGCAGCCTATGCTGCTGCTGGTGCTGCTGGGGGCAGCCAATGCTGCTGCTGGTTCTGCTAGGGGCAGCCTATGCTACTGCTGGTTCTGCTGGGGGGGGAGGCTATGCTGCTGCTGGTTCTGCTGTGGGCAGCCTATGCTGCTGCTGGTTCTGGCATTGGGGAACGATTTTGCGCGGTTCTGGATGGTCCTGGGCGGTTCTAGACGGTTCTGGACGGTCCTGGGCGGTCCTGGGCGGTTATGGGCGGTTCTGGGCGGTTCTGGACGGTCATGGGCGGTTCTGGACGGTTCAGGACGGTCCTGGGCGGTTCTGGGCAGTTCTGGGCGGTCCTGGACGGTCTTGGGCGGTTCTGGGCGGTTCTGGACGGTCCTGGGCGGTTCTGGGCTGTCCTGGACTGTCCTGGGCGATTTTGGACGGTTTCTGGACGGTTCTGGGCGGTTGTGGACGTTCCTGGGGCGGTTCTGGAGGGCTGGTGGCAGGCGAAGCTGGCGGACTGCAGGGCGTACGGGGAGGGGACGCGACGGGGCTGGCGGAATAGGACGCGACGGGGCTGGCGTACGGGGGCGCGACGGGGCTGGCGTACGTAGCAGGCGAATTGCAGGGCGGCGGGGAGGTGACGCGACGGGTAGGGGAAGGGGAGGCGACGGGGAAGGGGCGCGACGGGGAGGCGACGGGGAAGGAACGCGACGGGGAGGCCTGCGGGGCGACGGGCTACGGGGGGGGGGGGGGGGGACGCGCGCGATTCGGGGGCCCGCGGGGGCCTTTCTAGGTCGCGACGTGGGGGGACCCGTGGGGTTCGTCTTAGGTCGCGATTCGAGGGCCCGCGGGGGCCTTTCTAGGTCGCGACGTGGGGGGTTCCGAGGGGGTCCGTCTTAGGTCGCGATTCGGGGGCCCGCGGGGGCCTTTCTAGGTCGCGACGTGGGGGGACCCGCGGGGGTCCGTCTTAGGTCGCGATTCGGGGGCCCGCGGGGGCCTCCCTAGGTCGCAACGTGGGGGGACCCGCGGGGGTCCGTCTTAGGTCGCGATTCGGGGGCCCGCGGGGGCCTTCCTAGGTCGCAACGTGGGGGGACCCGCGGGGGTCCTTCTAGATCGCGATTCGGGGGGCCCGCGGGGGCCTTCCTAGGTCGCGACGTGGGGGACCCACGGGGGTCCTTCAAACTCGCGATTTGGGCTGGCGCTAAGGGGTGACGGGGCATTACGGGTAACGTGTTACTAACGGGAGAGCGCGGGGCGGTGGGCCCATGGGAATCGAAGTGCTCTGTACCATGTCAACGAGGTAACGGAATAATGAAATGACTAGAAATGACAAGGACAAGGAAGATATAGCAAACCCTGGTCAACCTTAGCCAACCTTAAACATAATTGTACACCACCTAGACTAGCAAATACAAACCATAACAATTATAGTTTGACAGTGCTCTCACGGCGAGGTTGAAAGGGACTGCTGGCATAGCGGGGTTGGGAGGGACTGATGGCACGGCGGGGTTGGGAGGAACAACTGGCACGGCGGGGTTGGGATGGACTGATGGCACGGCGGGGTTGGGAGGGACTGCTGGCACGGCGGGGTTGGGAGGGACTGCTCTCACGACAGGGTTGGGAGGGACTGATGCAACGGAAAGGTTAGGAGGGAATGCTGGCACAGGGTTGGGAGGGACTGATGGCACGGCGGGGTTGGGAGGGACTGTTACAATAGTAATTACTGAATGAATTGACTAAGGAAAGTGAGAAACAAGCAAGATATAGCGAACGTAACCCTAACCCTAGGAAAACATAAAGTACACCTAGACTAACACCAATAAGCTATAACAAATATAGCTTGACACACCCCCATAATCTATGTGATGGTAGTCCTGTGGAAAGCAACACACAGCAAGGGTCACGGGACCAGCTAGTACGAACAAGCAACGGTCACAAGACCAGTTCACAGTAACACAACAAATCTCGGGGTGGATCTCAAGATCACCACGCAGTCTGAGATCAAGCAAGGGGCCACAAGGCCAATCCACAAGCAGATGTATATAGCAAATATAGAGAGATGCACGAGTACAATGCAAAGTATCTCTACGCAAGAAATTGAGGTCCTGTAGACACAAGGCCTAGCTGGGTGCAGAAATGCTGGTGGTCACAAGGCGGCAACGCCTTGGTGAAGATATCTGCAGTGTTGGCCTCAGAGACCGCACGTACAACGCGGGCCTGGCGCGCAAAAGGAAGTAACGAAGTTAGATGTGCTTCGCCTTCCCAACCAGTCGGGGCTCCTCGCACAACAAGAGAGCAGACCCGTTGTCGGCAAACAAGACTGGGGGAGAGCGAGGCCGCTCACCAAAGTCGGGGAGGAGGAAACAAAACCAGCGAAGCTCCTGGGCGGCCATGGCCGCAGTGTACACCTCTGCCTCAGAGCTAGAACTGGAGACTGGCGAAACCCGAGTCGACCTCCACGAGACAGCTCCGGTCCCAAGACTGGAGCAGTAACCCTGTGGAGACCGCAGGGACTCAGCGTAGTCGGTCCACGACGAGTCCGAGTAACCTGTAAGTGTAACTGCCTCCAAGGACAAATCCCATGCCTGATGTACTCGCCACAACCTTCGCCACCCTCTTAGCCGCGTACCAGTGGGAAGGTCGGTGTCTCGCATGCGCAACAAAGCGCGACAGGACGCTAAGAGGGTAAGCTAGGTCTGGGCGAGTACAGGTCATCAGGTATATGAGACAACCCACCAACTCAGGATATGGACCACTGGACTCAAATGGCTCGTCCGAAGGTGGAGCCATGAGCCCATGATCCACAGCAAGAGGGGTGAGCTGTACCTTGGAGAACGGGAAGCGGAACCGCGTGAGGATCTGCTCGACCATATGCGATTGCGTCAGCGTAATGGTGCGAGCTGCCCTGTCTCTTGTGATCTGCGGGCCAAGGTAGCACTGCAGCTCACCAAGGTCAGTGCAAATGTGTCTCCCCTGCAGTTCCTCCTTCACAGAGGCCAGTTCGCGTCTGTCAGGAGTGGCAAAGACCAGGTCGTCAACGTAAACCAGAACAAAGAACGGGGTCGAGCCACGGTGGACGAAAAGTGACGGGTCCGCAGACGACGGAAAGAAGTAAAGCGCAAGGGTCGTGCAAAGTGTGTCGTGCCACTCACGGGGAGCTTGGCGCAGGCCGTAGACCGGTCCACGCAGCTGTCACTGGGTCACAGGAGGGAAAGCGCCAGTGAAGCCAGGCGCGCGACGCAGCCAGATCTGCTCGTGCAGGCTCCCCTGAAGAAACGCTGGAGAAGTCCAGCGAGTGAAACTCATAGTCGCGCTGAGCTGCGATGTGCAGCAACACCCGAAGAGTGGTCATCTTCGGGGTGGGAGCGAAGGTCTGGAAGACGTCAACCCCCTTGCGCTGACTGAAGCCTCTCGCCACATAGCACGCCTTGAACACCGGTGGTGATCCAGGCGGCCGCTTCACCTTATAGAGCAACATGCCACTGACGACGTTCGTCCCAGGTCGTAGGACGGCGTCGACGTAGGTGCCTGTGGACCTATAAGATGCTATCTCTGCCTCCTCAGCAGCTATCCAGTACGAAACCCAGGGTCCCGAGACCGCCTCAGCGCGAGTGTGAGGGATCCGGATGTCAAGGGCGTCTGGATCCCCCTCAGGTGCAAGCAGCATGGCGCAGAGATGAGGAACAGCGGCCGCCAGGAAACCAAGCTCGAACTGCCTGTCCTCAAGGACCTCCAGGGGAAAGACAGGAGCACCCCCAGAGGACGGAGAACGAGCAGGGCCACTCACCAGGTGAGCGGTGTAGTCAAGGCGGCGGGAAGAGGCAAAGCTAGCAACAGTGGTAACAAGAGCCGAGACAGACAACGGGGGGGCACTCGGGTGAGTGACCAACGCGGACAGAACACGGGAGACAACCGGATGGCAGGCAAGGAGGTAGTCGGACAACGGGTCGTGAAACACAGTGGGGGACGACTCAGGAGGCTATGGAAGGACATGAGGAGGTGGAACATGAGAGCGGAAAACAAGATGAAATTGGCCGTCAGCACGGTAACGGGACCGACGGGGCTCTGGAGACACAGCACGATTGAGGGGAGAACGACGAGTATACTGGGACGAGGAAAGGGACTGGATGGGGGGAATAGGGGGGGACGGTAGGGGACCACGAACCAAGCGTGCAGGTGCTGGGTCGGGCAGGTCGCGCAGTCGCAGTCTCTGCTGCTCCGCCTCCTCTAGCGTCTGTTGCAACGGTACCTGCCTCTACTGCTGCTCCTGTGGCTCTTCCTCTGCCCTCTACTGCTGCGGCTGCAGCTGCACCCGCTGCTGCGACCGGGACTCCTGAGATACTCGCTCCTGCTGCTGCAATGACTCCTTTAGTCTCTCCTGTTGTGTATGTAACTGCACCTGCTGCTGCGGGAGGGACTCCTGCTCAACCCTCTCCTGGTGCGGTCGTGACTCCTCCTCTACTCTCTCCTGCTGCGACTGCAACTGCAACCGCTGCTGCACTCGCGAATCCTCCTCCACTCTCTACTGCTGCTGCTGCAACTCCACCTGCTGCTGCTGTTGTGACCCCTCCTCTGCTCTCTCCTGCTGCTGTGACTGAGACTTCTCCTGCTGCTGCAGTGCCCTCTCAAACCGCTCCCGCTCCTCCCTCTCCAATCGGAGGAGACGTTGCTCACTCGTGAGGAAATGTACAGTGCACGGTGTAGGCGCCACAGTACCAGTGCCACCGGCTCCAGCACCCCCAGAACCAGCACCTCCACCACCGGCACCCCCGGTGCCTCGAGTACCCCCCGCAGGAACACCCCCAGGCTTCGCAGCAACCGGCCGTTGAGAACGACGAGGGAACTGCGGGACGGACGGGAAGCCAGGGGGTGACGCGGGGCAAGGCCGCCGACTCGAGGTTGCCGTGTCCTCCACGGGAGTGACCTCCACGCCCACACTCCCTGCACCCCCAGAGCCGACCCCACCAGCTCCAGAAGCCCCAGTACCCTCACCCTCCGCAACTGCACCTCTTTCACCCCCAGACACGACAGGGACTGGACGCGACTGCGGAGTGACGTGCGACAGACCTGACGGGGCAGGATGCAGAGGGGGGGGGAGGGGGGGGGGGGGGGGCTACTGGGTCGACTGGGTGGGGGTCAAGGGTGAGGAACAGCGGGGGGGAAAAGACCTCAGCGGGGGGGCGAATCCTGTAGTAACAGACAGACTCGTCGAACGTCATGTCCTCAGAGGCGAAGAACTGGTGGGTGACTGGGTCGTAGAACACCCAGCCGGAGGTGGAAAGACGCAGGTTCGAGTGCGCGCAGACAACTTGTTCGCGCCAGGGGCGCGATCGTTATCCAGAGAACCCCAGACGCGGAATTCAGTTGCTACGCCCGTTAACCTGTTCAAAGGGAGACTGGCGTCACTCGTGGCCGTGCGTCACTGGGCCACAGGTTCAGCTGGTGCGCGGCGTAGCGGACTGCCTCAGGCCACAAGAGCTGGGGGGCACCAGTATGGCACATGGAGGTCCGGGACACCTCCCTGACCAGCGTCGCTCGGCTACCCCGTTCTACTGCGGCGAGTCTGGTAGCGTGTAAGACTGGATGATCCCCCGACCCTGACAGAACGTCTCTAAGCGAGTGGAAGGAAACTCCACCCCTTGCTAGTAACCACTTCTCGAAGACGGTAGGCACGTCGGCCTTCCGTCGGAAGGGGAAAACCGTGGTGTAGCGGGAGTAGTCGTCCACAACAATCAGGAAGTAGCGCTCCTGATGTGGGCCAAGGACCGGGGAGGGGCCCCAGACGTCCAAATGCAGGGCCTGAAAGGGAGCCGTGGTGGGGGGGAACGAGGAGGAGTGAGGGGCAGCGCGCTGCCGACCCTCGACGCAAGGAGTGCACGGCGGCGTAGGCGAGCGAGGAAGCGGGGCAAGCGACTCTGGGAGACCTGAGACCAGACGGTGACGTACCATCCTACTGAGACGTGGAAACGACCATCTACCTGACCTGACCTGACCTGACCTGACCCAGTGTGGTGGGACCCAGTGTGTAGTGAGTACAGACCAGGGCCCGGCTTCTTGTGGAAAATGGCCAGAAGTGCCCCTGTGGCACCGACTGTGCAGGAGGCAACATGCTCGTCCAATGGGAAAGTAGTGACAACACCTAGGTCGTGGAGGTGACTGACACCTACCAGGTTACTGGAGAACGAGGGGGTGTAGTAACCTGTGAGAAACCCCGAAGGAGCCGCCGGACACGGGAGAGTGGTGGTGTTATGGTACTACAAGTGCCACGGAGGGGTCAGCCAAGGCGACAGTGACTGGAGTGCGCAGCGGCGTGAGGTCAGTACAGTCGCGAAAGAAACAGCTGGACGTGTTGTGTGATGCTATCATATGCATTCACGTCTGTCTGCCTCCCATCATATGTTCGTGCATTGCATGCATGGTGTGCGCGTGCGTAAGAGCTTGAGTTCGGTGTGTTTTGGAGTTTCTGAATGTGTGTGAATGATACTTTGCTTGTGCAGATATCTAGAAAAACTTCTCTGCTCGAGAGCTTTCCTACGAACCAAGAATCGCCGCGATCGGTGCAAGAACGAGAAAGTTATTATCGTTCGAAGTTGTGGTTGTGGTGCGGCGACTATGGGAATTTGCGGGTTGACTCAATATGGGGCACATACCTTTGGGGGTTGGGAAATTCGTCATCATCACTGTAGATGCTGCCAAGTGGTTGGGAGAAGCCAAACCAGGTTGGCAAGTGTGGCCAAGTTGGTGAGGTGGATTGTGGAGGTTAGGAAAGTGACAAATGTCAAAATTGGGGTGCTTATAGAGAGGGAATTGTGTGGTATGGGGTTTCCTTGGTTGGGGACTCCCTTGGGACCTTCCCTCTCATCCTCCTCTTCCCTCCTACCTGGTTCTTGCTACTCCAATTCCCTTGCGTGGAACTTGTGAGTATACCCCCTAGTGCGCCGAAATTCATAACTCGAGTTATACTCCATATTTTGATACGATTCAAATTGGGAAAGATAGCCACGGTCAAGGGCTACAACATACTCGAACGGTGCGTTTTTCGTCGACGACGTTTCTTGTTAAGTCGACAATTCTTTCCAGAAATATAGTCCAACGATTTTGAGATAATTCGGCCCCTAATCTTCATAGACTCCGTCCTTAGTCTCTAACAGGACGCTCCAGAGTCTAGGGAGAAGGAAAGCTGTGCAGTCTGTGAGGTCGCACCCGAGCTAGCGAGAAAGGCTGGTGCTAGACTAGTGCTAGCTGCAGCTCCCACACAAAGACCCTCAGAGGCGCCTAGACTGTAAACTACACACGCACCTAGACTGGAAACACAGGTCACTATTCGTGCAGCCGGGAAAGGTCCTAGACCAGGTAGGTGAGACTCAACTGGTGCAGCAGTGTGCTGGCGAATACGCGAGAGCCAGTGCGGTGTAATAGCGTGAGGTCCAAAACACTCACGGTGGAGGTCGTCGATGCGACGGTAGCACTGGAATGCAGAGTGGTCAGGACTCCAGCAGGTAGTGCCAGCACCAGGGCCTGTCAGGGCCCAGTACCCGCAGGGGCCGACGTCTCGCCCACTGCTAGCTGAGGCACTGCTGGGGGCGCCACACTTTGGACCCGCATGTCCCCACTGCCGTGAGTGTTGCGTCTGGCCTTGCTGCTGTAGAACCCTAGTACACGCCATGTGAGGAACTAGAAATGGGGGGGTCGTCCTGGCAGGTTTAGAGCGGTGGGGAGCAGTCAAGAGCGGGCGGGTGGGGCTGTAGGGCGGTTCCTTACAGGTGAGCCTAAGCTGCTGCTGGTGCTGCTGGTGGCAGCCTAAGCTGCTGCTGGTTCTGCTGGGGGCAGCCTAAGCTGCTGTTGGTGCGCTGGCGGCAGCCTAAGCTGCTACTGGTGCACTGGGGGCAGCCTATGCTGCTGCTGGTTCTGCTGGGGGCAGCCTATGCTGCTGCTCTTTATGCTGAGGGCAGCCTATGCTGCTGCTGGTTCTGCAGGGGGCAGCCTAAGCTGCTGCTGGTGCTCTCGCGGCAGCCTAAGCTGCTGCTGGTTCTGCTGGGGGCAGCCTATGCTGCTGCTGGTTCTGCTGGGGGCAGCCTATGCTGCTGCTGGTTATGCTGGGGGCAGCCGATGCTGCTGCTGGATCTGCTGGGGGCAGCCTATGCTGCTGCTGGTTCTGCTGGGGGCAGCCTACGCTGCTGTTGGTGCCCTGGCGGCAGCCTATGCTGCTGCTGGTGCTACTGGTGGCAGTCTAGGCTGCTGCTAGTGCGATGGCGGCAGTGGAAGCTGCTGATGGTGTTACTGGTGGCATTCTAGGCTGCTGCTAGTGCGCTGGCGGCAGTGGAAGCTGCTGCTGGTGCTACTGGTGGCAGTCTATGTTATAGTCACAATAGGCTCAAATGTGCCTAAAACGAAAGATAGAGTGCACAGTCGGATTTCTGCACAGCGGCTTTAAACGTTCATAGCGTTCTGGTCACAGCTTCAAATGACCTTATTCAACTTGGATCTGGAGAGTCTTAACGTCGCCTACATTAGGCAATTTAGATCGCACGATTTGACCAAGTATTGACGACACAGCGTCGGTTTGAACGAACGGCACTATGGCAGCCACTTTAGTCTTAGAACACAAGATAGGAAGAGTTACGAGTTGGGAATGACTCCCAGCTCCTACAAACCCCAAGAACCGAGGTACAGTGATGTGGAACAGTGCCACACTGTCCCCAACCAAGAAGGGTCTCGAAACTACCCACCACAAGGGCCTACACCAACTGAAATGTTACACTACACAAAGTAATGTAACTATCTTCAACATCTTGAAGTGTACCCTTTTGGCGAGCTTCGAAATCACTTGAGGCTTGACACCAAGGCTCGGGTTCTTCATCACAAACTCATCCTTGAGTTCTTGATGGGTCTGCTGCACACACCTGCGACACGCCGAACGTTCGAGACAGGACAAAATAGAAACCGCGCGAGACACACAAGCGACAAAATAGAAACCGCGCGGGACACAGAAAATGACCGCGTAACACGCGACTAGCGATAACTCGCTATTGACTCGATACACACACACTTGACATCATGACCCATCATACACACACTATTATAAGCATGAAATATATATTATCTCATGCCCTCATACCATTCCATGCACAGACGCATGCACGCACACGGACAACAAGCCGAGTGCAAACCGTAGGGTTGCACCAACAAACTCCCCCTCGGATTGTTGGCCTTAGGATCTTGCTCTCTCAGTTCAGAGCCATCCCAGCCAGCTTGCAACACTTCCAATGCTGCTGCTCCACCAGCCTCTTGGTCATCATGTCAGCCGGCTGCCCCGTCGTCTTCACGTAATGCAACTCAACTTCACCCGCGGCCACCATGCTCCTCGTCCAATGCCACTTCACCCTCATGTGCTTGGTGAGGCCATGCAACACAGGGTTCTTAGCAAGAGCAATGGCACCCTGGCTGTCACAATAGAGAGGGTTCTTAGCTGCTAGGGCGCTGGCGGCAGTGGAAGTTGCTCCTGGTGCTACTGGTGGCAGTCTAGGCTGCTGCTAGTGCGCTGGCGGCAGTGGAAGCTGCTGCTGGTGCTACTGGTGGCAGTCTAGGCTGCTGCTAGCGCGCTGGCGGTAGTGGAAGCTGCTGCTGGTGCTACTGGTGGCAGTCTAGGCTGCTGCTAGTGCGCTGGCGGCAGTGGAAGCTGCTGCTGGTGCTACTGGTGGCAGTCTAGGCTGCTGCTAGTGCGCTGGCGGGAGTGGAAGCTGATGCTTATGGCCCGCACGGTAACCTGCCTGTGTTGCACTAGCCGCAGGCTGCCACATGTATGAATCCATCCCGCTTCAGTGGTACCACGGCGGGCCAATGCCCGTCCACTCCCTCCAGTTGTTTCTTTCTGTCCTGTTCCGTGGCTCGTCATGGTGCAGGATCATGTTATGCAAGATAATTAAGCACGCCGTGCTGGCACAGACGCGGTTGAGCTTGCATTCGTGGCGCCTACTGAATAGCCGCCACCTCCCTTTGAGTGCGCCGATGGTACGCTCCACCACCATGCGGGTTGCGGAGTGGACGTAGTTGTACGTCTGCTCCCAGCTTTTCATGAGGCGCCTTCGCGAGGCGTTGACTGGTGTAAGGCAGTAGTCGCGAAGTGGGTATGCTGCATCTCCCACAATCTGGAATGGCACAATGTCTTCGCGCTAAAGTCTTGTGTGCAGGTCAGACTGCTGGAAGATCCCCTGGTCGTGCATGGAGCCGGGATGGCCCACTAGATAGTCCCAGACGTAGCCTTTGTGACATCTAACTTGTAGCTGCGTGGAACTTGTAGCTGCGTGGAATAGACTCTCTTGCGGTTGTAATACTCCTGTCGGTGGTTCTCAATCCCCCTTATCTCAATGTGGGTACCGTCAATAGCGCCAATGACGTTGGGCAGACCCCTAACCTCTCAGAAGTCCTTAGCCATGTCCACCATCTCGTCATTTGTTGGGAAGCGGACCCACGTCCGTTTGAAGAGCCTTGGGAAATGCAGG